TACCCATTAAGTACACCAATGAATATTCAATCACTTGAAGTGAATGAGGATCCGTTCCAACCTTTAGAAGAGGATAAGGAGCTCCTTGGTCCTGAAATACTTTATCTCGGTGTAGATGGTGCACTTATTTATCTTGCTAATGCTAACAAAAGTGGTGCAGATCGTATTGGTAAAGATGCAGGTTATTTATCCGATACCCATAAAGCTCGATTTCAAACCGGCAAGCAGGGAGTGCATATGATTGAGATCAGTGATTCATTCGAGAAACATGTGGGTTGAAATGTGATAAAAGACTCACAGTATTATACGGAGACAATGTTTCATGCATATCACTATTAAAGGGAGGATTTATAAAAGGAGATAGAACGAAGAACATTTCACCAGAGTTATTCTACATACATGATCTTCAGGAAAATTGTGACATTGATGTGCATTAAATTAGTTCAAGTGACAATCCAGCAGATTGTCTTTACCAACATCAATTTTTTAGAATATGGTATACAAGATTGGAATGCGGAGACTCAAATATTTGAAATAAGGTTTTCTTCAGGGGGAGTAAAATGTGCGCTGTACTCTTTTTCCCTTACTAAGGTTTTTCCCACAGGGTTTTCCTTATAAGGTTTTTAATGAGGCAGCCAGTAATGCGTATTACTAAATATGTGTACTCTTTTTCCTTCACTAGGATTTTTTCCCACGTGATTTTCCTAGTACGGTTTTAATGAGGTACATTATCTTTTAATGAACATCCAAGAGGGAGTGTTATAAATATATTATATTATGGATGTTCATTTAGTACTCCGTTGTAAATAAGCTTCCTAAAGAAGCTTATCCATACGGGACTCCACCGTAAATATGCTTATCTATTTAAGTACTCTATTGGAAATAAGCTTCCTGAAGAAGCTTATCACTTCGATACCCGGTTATGGATAAACATTACCCCCGGTAGAAGATTATCCATATCGGGTATAATAAGCTTATCCTTTCAGTACCCAGTTATGGATAAACATTACCCCCGGTAGAAGATTATCCATATCGGGTATAATAAGCTTATCCTTTCAGTACCCAGTTATGGATAAACATTACCCCCGGTAGAAGATTATCCATATCGGGTATAATAAGCTTATCCTTTCAGTACCCAGTTATGGATAAACATTACCCCCGGTAGAAGATTATCCATATCGGGTATAATAAGCTTATCCTTTCAGTACCCAGTTATGGATAAACATTACCCCCGGTAGAAGATTATCCATATCGGGTATAATAAGCTTATCCTTTCAGTACTCCGTTATGGATAAACATTGCTCTTAGTAGAAGATTATTCATATCTGATATAGTAGCAGCTTACACAGCAGCTTCCTTTCTTCTATAAATAGAAGAGATTTCAGTTCATTATGTACATCAATTTGAATTCGAATAATATATCAGTTTCTCTCTGTACTTGTCTTTACTTTATAGTCTTTATTTTATAACAAAATGACTAGTTTTTCGGTTGTAGGAAAAACAAAATATCAAACGCATGATCGTCGTACCAGTTACCAAAATTGGAAACACAATGTCACCGGCGGCAACTTTATCTCCAGAACCAATCTTTTCCTTCATAGAAATGGCCAATTCCATTTCTGAACTCCACCAGTCTCACGCTTTCCTGCTCAAAACTGGCCTCTTTCGTAACCCTTTTGCCGCTAGCCGCCTCTTAACCAAAGCCACTACACTTCCCTCTTCTTCCTCCGCAGACACCCTTTCATATGCTCTCTCCATTTTCACTCACATCGAAGAACCCAACTCATACACCTACAACACTATCATCCGTGCTTATTCCACTAGCTCTTTCCCGCAACTTTCACTCATAATCTTCCTTAAACTGTTAAACGCTGTACATAAAGTTTTCCCTGATAAGTACACTTTTACATTCATTGTAAAAGCTTGTGCTACTATAGGAAATGCTAAACAAGGTGAACAAGTTCATGGGTTAGTGACAAAAATTGGACTTGAGGAAGATGTGTATGTGTATAATACTTTAATTCATATGTATGCGAAATGTGGGTGTTTTGGAGTTTCGCGTGGTATGATTGATGGGTTGGTTGAAGATGATGTTATAGCGTGGAACGGGTTGTTGAGTGTGTTTTCTGAAAGGGGGTTGTTTGAGTTGGCGAGAGAGTTATTTGATGAAATGCCTGTGAAGAATGTTGAATCTTGGAACTTTATGGTTTCTGGTTATGTGAATGTTGGGTTGGTGGATGAAGCAAGGAAAGTGTTTGATGAAATGTTGGTGAAAGATGTTGTTTCGTGGAATGTTATGATTACTGGGTATACTAAGGCTGATAGGTTTGCTGAAGTTTTGGCTCTTTTTGAGGATATGCTGAGAGCTAAAGTGAAGCCTGATAATTGTACACTTGTGAATGTGCTGTCTGCTTGTGCTGGTGTTGGATCTCTGAGCCAGGGAAAGTGGGTTCATGCTTATATCGAGAGGAACGGGATTGAGGTTCACGATTTCCTTGCTACTGCTCTTGTAGATATGTATTGCAAATGTGGATGTATTGAGAAAGCTCTGGAGGTGTTTAATGGTACTTTGAGAAAAGATATTAGTACTTGGAATGCAATGATTGCAGGGTTAAGCAACCATGGGTATTTGGATGATGCATTAAAGACTTTTGATGAACTCATTGCTGATGGTATTAAGCCCAATAAGGTCACTTTTGTAAGCGTTTTGTCTACTTGCAGTCAAGGGGGCTTATTAAGCGAGGGGCGCAGGATGTTCGATCTCATGATTAGTGAATATAGAATTCAGCCTACGCTCGTGCATTATGGTTGTATGGTTGATTTACTTGGCCGGTTTGGATTATTAGAGGAGGCTGAAGAACTCTTAAGCAGATTGCCAGTGAAAGAAGCTCCTGCTATTTGGGAGTCCCTGTTGAGTGCTTCCAGAAGCCACAATGATGTTGAATTGGCAGAGCGCATCGCTACGAAACTTTTAGAGCTTGATCCCCACGACAGTGCTGGTTATGTTCAACTATCAAATGTCCTTGCATCTATGGGGAGATGGGATGATGTTAGGGAAGTGCGGAGGAAGATGAGAAGTGAGGGAGTGACTAAAGAGCCCGGTTGTAGCATGATTGAAGTGGATGGAGTTGTTCACGAGTTCTTGGCTGGTGAAGGGATAATACTGTAACATGGACAAAAGACTTCTTGGATAAGGCCATCAATCTGAAATAGTACTAATAGCTCTATAAGCGCTGCATCCAGTCTTCAGAGGAAGCTGAATTTTCCATTTGTCGTATGTGCTTGCTACTACTGTGGTACTAAAATTTTGCTGACCTGCTTCTACTACAGCCTTCAAGCGATTTCTTTAATACTCTCTCGTACTTTTCAGGCTGCTAGATGGGAATTATAGTATGCAGACGTGAGCGGTACCTTAAGAACCACTGATGATGCAAACTGTTGAAAAGGATAGAGTTTATCTTCTTTATGCAGACCAAAACATTTGCTTATATTGGTAGAAATAGCTGTCCAGTGCAACAGAAGCAAACAGTTTGTTGTAAATTATATAGCAAGCAGCTACCCTGAACTTGTGTTAGAAGCAGCAATCAAAAACATAAATATAACATATCTCGAAAGTAAAGTTTATCATTCCTTTGCAAGATTTTTCTTATCATTTGGATGTTTTTTTTTGGCATAAATTTCTTATCCATCAGTTAATGCATTGGTATCCAGATGCAGATGGAAAATCTGGCTGCCAGATTCTAGTGGCAATTAACTCCTTGTTAATTCCATAGTAAAAGGAGCTAATTCATCTTGATGAACGATGAACTGTTGTGTTCATTGCCCTGGCAAATGTATAAACCATCAAGCTTGATTGCTCTTTGGAAATTTCAGAATGCAAAGCCTGTTTTCTATAGTTTTTCCCCATTTTAGTATAAAAAGACGTAGTAATAATTTAAAACAATAAACATACTTAAGAGAGGATAGTACCTATAACTTATTTACATTTGCATGAAGTTAAGCAATTCCCAAGTCATCAGAACAACAACAATTCTGCAATCCTGCTCCAATATTAACCTGGTTCAGCTCAAACCATACCTGCCGAAAGACCTTGATAATGAGATCATGGTATTCATCGCAGTTCAGTGTCAGATAACAAGCCAATAACTCTTCAAGCTCCTCTGAGTTTTTTATCCCTCTCTGTGTTATCATCTCAATCATCGACTCTCTGAAGTCCCTAAAAGGGTCAAATGAACTCTTTACAACAGCATAGCTATCGAAAACTGTCCTGTCTCCTCCCGATCTCTCCTTTGTCTCTTGTCTCATCTTCATCTTTGCTTTCTTCATGTCTTCAAGAGCTTTGATTCTGCATTCTATCTTGGCTGTTGTTCTTGGTGAATATGCTCTGAGTTTAACACCATGTTTTCGTCTTCTCTTCTGGTTTATGTACACTGATTTTCTCTGCTGATAGTCACTTTTCTCTGACATTTCTTTGATTTTCATGTCTTTCATCTCTAGGCATTCTGATTCAAATTCTTCTTCAGACAATTCATCAGCTTCTTCATCTAGATTCAGAGATTCAAACATGTAAGTTTCCTCGACTGTATTCTGACTGGAATCAGTCACACTCCTCGTATTTCTTGTACAATAGGCTGTTGTTTTCTCCTTCCTCTTTTGCATTACCTTCTCATTCTCGGGCTCTATTTCGAATATATCTTTCTCTATCACCGCTGCTGCTCTTTCTTCTTCTTCTTCTTCTTGATCAGGTTCTCTTGCATTTTCTGCTATTCTCTGCTCCAGAGCTTTTCTACTCAGTTTCCTCAGCTTCTCATCTCTGACAGAATTCATCTTTCTGTTACTGAATTCTGCTTCTTTCTGTGTAATCCACATTTTCTTGGGCTTTTCCGTTATCTTTCTTGAAACCATATAATTGAACTTGTGATCCTCTTCTCCCAAAAGAATCTTGGAATTCCAAGCTGAAACTTGATCACATTCATCATAAGAACCATTCCAGAGTGGGTTCTGAATTTGTTGATTCTGATGATAAGCTTCAAATCTGTCTTCAGTAAAAGAAAGCCTCCAGTAAGGATCATCATCATCATCCCCACCATAGAATCTGCCTTCTTTCAAGCTAACATTCGTCGGCGATGTCAAAGAAGTCAAATTCGCCTTGCTCTTCTGCTTCATTTTTGCTGCTTCTTGATTCTCAGTGTTGCCATTCTTCTTTTGTTTGAATTTTGAGAGCCAAGAAACAGGGAAAACATGATTGATCAATGAAGATGAAGGCTTCTTCTTTGCCCACTTCATCTTTCACTATGAAAAAGAAACACCAGAAAATGGAAATTTTGGAAGTTTTGCTAATTTTTTTGTGAATGGTCTTTTCTTGGAGTTAGCAGAGGGAAAAAGAAGTGCAGTAGAAGCAGTTAAGGGGGACAGTTAGGCTGTTAAATAGAGACGTGGGATTCATGTTGGAGGAAGGTGTGAACTTTTTTAGGTTGTGTGTGTTGCTTTTAGAAATGGTATTGCACTATTTAGTTCAAAAGAAAGGCCCGCCATTTGGAAATCTTGTGACCACTTACCCACTTCTTCCTACTTTCTAGTAGTAAGTATTTTGCAGAATTGCTGTTCTATCTTCAAGGGACCAAATTCACTTGGTCTCCTACCTAAAGTCATTACCCATATGTCCTTTTTACTTTTTGTCTTTTATTTTCTCCTACACAACATCATAGTAGGTTATTTGCTTTTTTCCCTAATTATCTTGCTATAAACACTTACATGTTGGTTTGAATCATTTAACTAGATAGTGTTAAAATACAATACAATCGTCTAATAGGATAGGTGGGAACTTTTCACACAATCAAGTGTGATTCGATTTCCATTACGCTAATATACCAATGTAATAGGTTTTAATTGTTTTATGCAAAAAGTAATGGGTTCACAGGGATTGACGAAAATGTTGGAAGTTAGTAATATTTCCAGTTTGTTATAATTGTGTTTAAATCCATCATATTATGATAAAGTCCGTATCACAAATTAAATATAAAATAGTTTCAACTCCTTTTTTCTTTTTTTTTTGAAATTAGAGGTGTACATAGTTCGGGTTTGTTCGAATTTTTCAATTATCAAATCAATAGTGTCGGGTTTTTAAATCTATAAACCAAACCAACAAAGTCTGATATCTCAATCTCGATTTTTTCTTGGTTTTTTCGGATTTTCAGACTTTTACCCCGGTAAAGTCTTCATAGCACAAAATATTTAACTTGTGCTTCAAATATTTCTTTAGTCCTAGTAAGATACAACTATATAATTTATTTTCCAAGAAAATAACACAATACTATGATTTAAGTCAGAACAATATACTAAAATATACAATAAAGATAGTAAAACTACATAAAGCAAATACTGCTAATTAATAAGTCGTAATAAGAACTAACATAATCTAAAAATACTATATAGGTCATTCTAAAATAAGTATAGCGATAAGTACTATTAATTATATAACTAAGCATTAAAGAAAAAGGTAAAAATTGCACGAGGCGCCCTATTTGGTCGCCCCCATTTAATCTATACCCATTTTTTTTTAAAAGTTTTAATTTGTACCCACTTTTTAAACAACTTCAGCTCCCTTTCTCCTTCTTCGTTTTCTTCTTCTTCTTCTTCTTCTTCTTCTTCTTCTTCTTCTTCTTCTTCTTCTTCTTTGCTGTTGTTGGTGATGCTATGAATATACAGTAATACAGATATATGCTGAATCCTGATGACTTTTGACTTTGTATTTTCCTATGGTTTCCCTCAGTCCTTAAATTTTATTGAACGAGCTTTGAAAATAGGTGGCATTGTAGTTGTACCACTTAGTAACAATCGAATGGCTGAATTTCCACAGCCATCAAATTACAAGATTGTCTATGTACGAAAATTTGATTCAACTATTGTAGCCATGAGGAAAACAAAGAATGCCTCTATCAGCTCATTCCCATTCCAAAAATTGCTCAACTCACATTTTTGGTTTTCTTGAAACTGAAATTGATCAACCGGGGAAGGAGCCCAAGAAATTATAGAAGCCTTTTCTTGATCTTGTGATAAACAAGAAATTATAAATACTTTCACTTTTTATAAAAACTTTAACACTAAATAAGCTGATTTTTTTTTCAAATCAACTAAATAGCTTCAGCATCCCTGCTGAAGTTTTTGAAAAAGCTTATCCAGGACAAAAAAAACTTCAGCTTATTTAGTGCTGAAGTTTTTATAAATGAACTAAATAACTTCAGCATCTTCTGCTGAAATTTTAAAAAAAAAAAAACTTAATGAAAAAACTAATGAATCCACGACAAAAAACTTCAGCTTATTTAATGCGATTACAAACAAAAACTTCAGCAAATAGAGAACAAAACTTCAGCTACTATGCTTAAGTTCAGCAATTACAAACAAAAACTTCAGCAAATAGAGAACAAAACTTCAGCTACTATGCTTAAGTTCAGCAATTACAAACAAAAACTTCAGCAAATAGAGAACAAAACTTCAGCTACTATGCTTAAGTTCAGCAATTACAAACAAAAACTTCAGCAAATAGAGAACAAAACTTCAGCTACTATGCTTAAGTTCAGCAATTACAAACAAAAACTTCAGCACACTTGCTACTTCAGGCCCGTCTACTAAAATGCTAAAGTTTTGTGTGATTCCCTTTGCTGCTTCAGCCCCGTATGCTGAAGTTACGCGAAAAAGTGGGTACGTTTGCAATTTTTTTTCCAAAGTGGGCACAAGTTAAAACATGACCCAAAAAGCGGGTATAGATGCAAATCCCCCAAGAAAAAGATAAACTTAGTTATGCCTTTTTATTATGAACCAATGTAAAATTAAAAATAGATGTCCAACGCTATTGTCAGTCCTAGACTTTTTGTATTGAATTGAATTTCTTTTGTTAGTATTAGTATTGATTTGAACTTTGTTTGAGTTACTATATTTATGTGCTATAAAATTTATATACCATTCAAGAATGTTAAGTCCAAACTTAAAATAATATGTTAAAATATAAAATTGTGAAAATTTTAAGAAATATTTATAAATCACATTACTTTAAAAATTATATAAATGTATTATCGGGTTGATTTAGTTTCGGTTTGATTTTTTTTAGTTAAAATCAAACCAAATCAATTATGGTCGGAGAATTTTTTTCCAATACCAAACCAAATCAAACCAAACCACAATCGAATTTTTTTCTCTGGGTTAACTCGTATGACTGGTTTGATACGATTTATCGATTTTCTTTATACACATACGAAGAACTCGGTAATAATGGTTGAGTCATGAAAAACTTTTTTAGTTATGCAAAAGGTGGTGTTTTCGAATAGTGAGGCTTATGACTATCCACAGTAGTTCATCAAAACTTTCTTCTTCTTGTGCATGAATTATTGAATTAAGTCCTTTTTTTTTTTTGAGAAATTTTCATAACGCACTATTTTTTAGTGGTAATTAGTTATCTATAGATATCATTTGCTATATTATGGATTGTAGATACGTTTTCTGTTGTTATAAGATATATTAGATGTATTTAAGCTATTGTATTCATGAATACGGTAGCAAAAATAGGCATGAATCATGGAAGTCCAGCTAATCAGTTGTTGTATTCGACTGTATTCATGGCGTGAAACATGGGATTACAGCTGGATAGGTTATTATATTCGACTGTATTCACGGCGTGAAACAGGGGATTACACTGTTTTTAAACGGAAAATGAATCAATTAACATAATAGACTCCTGATATAACTCAACAAACTCAATTATAACACACAAATTTTGTATTTCCGGTTATAAAAAAGATTCTCAACCGAAAAATACCCCAAAAACTTAGCAATCTTCAGAGAAATTATATAATACATCTGAATACATAAATTATATTAATTAAAAAAAACATATGAATACATTCATGGCATATAGCGAGACAGTGAATACAATGAAATAAATAGAATATAGCGGGATACATTGAAATACAATGAAAAAAAGATAGTGAATATAATGAAATACAAGGAATACAGCGAGATACATTGAATTACAATGAAAAAAAGACAATGAAATACATGAAAATACATTAAAATATATTAACAGAAAATCAAGTTGCTCAGCTCCAAATTCCATCGTCTTTATTCAAGAACAAACCTTAATTTCCGACAAATCTGTCGTCGAGCAAAAACCCTGAACAACTTCAGCTAGAGGAGTGGATTGTGGTGTTGGCAATGGAGAAGTTCTACAAACAGGACAAGTTGGATTTAACCTCAGCCGTGGATCTACGCATTTTAAGTGAAACAAATGCCCACAATCCGGCAATAGCCTTAACATGTCACTATTCTTGTAATCCGCCAAACAAATTGAGCAACAAGTCGCTGTTGAATCCTTGTGATTGAACTAGCTTCTGAATACAACAACTTTGAATAACTCAATAGGGTTTCCTCATCAAGCCCCACTTCCACCATAACTTATTGAACGTCCTCGTTGCTATTTTTATTTTTGAGGAATGAGGGAAGAGAATAGTATGTATCAAAGTAGAAAAAGAAAGAAAATAGTGTAACTGAATAGCATATTTAGTGACTTAGGGGTAGGAGGTAACCAAAATTAGATATTTTGCTATAAACATTAAAAGGTATCTGTAGAATATAATTTGTTAAAATGATATTTATTTAAAATAAATAAGGTATTAACCTTTGCTATATAAGGTAAAAATTCCTTTTTTTTTTCAAGATTAAGGAATCAACTAAGCATTTCAAAGACGGAATTAAATATCCAAGTTAAATAATGGGAGGTTTGGTCTGATGTTGTGGAGAAGATTAGACGTTAATAACCTTGAACAATTAGCCAACTCCCTAGGATTTTATCATCTCAACCTTAAGGAGAAAAAGTAGTTTATTTTTTTAGATATCAATATCACGAGCATCCCAAAATTGCATTTGCTGGTCGTATTGGTAAAAGCTACTACTACTAGTTTGAATAAGGGCACATACTAGGGCCCAAAATTTTCCACTTTAGTTCTACCTTAAACATGATTTAGATTTGTCTTTTGTTTTGTAGATTAGGTTCCTTCTTTTGCTTTTAGCTTTGTCCTTAGTAAATTCACCTTAACTTTGGCTAATAATGATGTGCTCATTATATATCTTTACACAGTTTGTGTGATTGAGACTTGCATTACAATCAGCAAATTATGGGTCAACATTGCTTTGTCTTAAGAAAATTACTAATAGAAATGACACCAGGTAGCCTTTAGAGGATTGTTATTTAGGAATTAGTCAATGTGTCATGAATTTTAGTTTTTCAATCCAAT